CGTCAGTCAGTACATCAAATCTCCACATTTCGTCACACATAATAAAATTCAATGAAAGGAGACTCTTTGAAATAGTCAATCCCGAGAAGCAACCAGTCGTAAAATTAGACAACAACTCGAGTACCCGGGTGTAGGGATTGTGTCATAAAGAATGCAAAGAGAGTTCTATAGTTATTTGTCTGGCGCGGGCTACATACATCTAGACAACTATATTGGACAGTCGTTATGACTTTTATTGCTGGTTCCAACCCCAGCGCGTATTATTGAGGTCAATTTCGAAATCACACATATACAATAGTTATTACCTTTTCCTTTATTGAGACAGTTAATCTGCGATGCAAGGTGTTCATTTCAGTCAATGAAATGTACAAGTGTTAATTTGCAAACGACACGACCATTACTTGCAGTGACTTGATGTGGTTTGTAAAAAAGTTGTTACTGCTTCTGTAGTCACACTCGAACGTCATTCAGGCTTTATAATACTGATAGCAAGAAAGTACTTATATTACGAAAGTAATGAACATTCTGCGTTATGGATTATGGTTTATTACAATAAACCAGAAGTTGTCATCCATAAAGTAGTGTTTTCTAACTTACCAACTTTTAGAATGCAAATCAAACAAATACCAAAGTATAACTCATACCCAAGATATGTCGGTTGTGTAGTCACATAATTACACTCCATGAGTCGAAATCTGTCCATCGAAGCATGCACATGTGACACTCCAGTTGCTGCGGTAATTTCATGTTCGCGGAGAATAAGCCCATACCCGCCGAAAGAGGTTTACTGTTTTAATTGAAGTACGCATCGTAAAATTTAACTTTAATGTCATCGAGAGACTTCACTCGTACTTCCCCCACGCGAATTACACACAAATCTATTCTTCATATTTTATAGTTTCCTTTACATCAACACCTGTTGCCCCAGCCGGCCGCATCGCACGCGTTGCCACTCACAAAGATGTGATTGTTTTGAAAGGTTCCGTTTTGTTTTTTGTTGTGTAAATGCCTGACATAGTTCCTGTGTACAAACACTGTACTCCCTCAAACATACCGGGGCGTGAATATGGAAGACACAAAGAGTCGCTTCTATCATCCTTGCAGCATCACATAGAATTTGTTTGTTTGTTTATTTGCTGTTTAACGCGGCACTCAGCAACTATATAACTGCTGTCTGTAAATAAGCGAGTCTGAAACAGACAATCCAGTGATTAACATCATGAGCATCGATCCAGGCAATTGGGATACGATGACATGCATCAACCAAGTCGGTGAGCCTGACCACCCGATCCCGTTAGTCGCCTCTTACGACAAGCATCACATGAAAAGAGTATCTAAAGTAAAACCTTTTTGATCTCGAAGGTTGCTGATGAAACCGTAATTGTATTGCGGACTATGGAGTTACAGGAACAGGGTAACATCCGTGTTGTATTACCACACCCTCCCAACAGGTAGGTATGGGGTTTCCGGACTGGGGTGGTATCTGTATTGTGTAAGTTGTGTCGCCGTTTCTCGACGGAAGGATGGGGTGACGTCTGGGTTAACATCGCATTTAACACTTCTTCTCTGAGGGTTTTGTCACGTGAGAGGAACGCTCAAGTGACTCAGATGTCGGTTATTTGTGAGTGGACATGAGCACACCAATAGGGTCGTATCTTGGATTCGAACCCACAACATATCGCCCTATATTCCACAAATAACTATAACAAACCCGTTTCCATGATCACAAATAAAATCTCTGCTAGTAGCAGAGTCCATTGTACCATTCCTATTATATAATAAGCCTGTGTTTATATATGGCTATTAATTGTGATGAAACCAGGTGTTCGCGACATGGTAGTGACATATCTTGACCCTCTGGTGACCACTGTCACAAACACATGCAAAGGCAAAGTATGACTGAATCTTTAATATCGTGTAAACTGAAGTTATAGAGTTTAATTTGTAGATTATAGCACCAAAATATACAAACAGGTTCTTCAAAGCCATTTGAGATTTTCATTGACTTAATTACACATACGATACTCTATAGTTTCTATATCTTTCCTTTAGGCCCTAAACGGATATTTTACGTGCACGGAATTAAATGAACTTTGAACCACCATCAGCAATAGTCTCGTATTTCGACAGATATGGAAGCTAGCATCTACTGAAAACTTTGCTACCTACACGTTGGCCATGTGATGTTAGAAGGACCAACACACCTGGTATCATTATGGTAATCATATTGAGTCGCTGTTTTTGAATTAGCCATTTCCGTTTTTTATGTGACCTTTTTATTAGAAGGTGACAAAAATAATTTTTCTCTGTACGATAATGTTCAATTTCCATTTTTACCGGTTGATGTCGCATAGCAGGCGTGTTATACAGATTACAGATGTAACATATTCGATAAAGGCTCTTAAAACACATCTCACATTTTATCGACCTTTGTCACCATATAGATATGTACATATACTTACACTTGTGTTTATAGGACTCACATTAAGGCGAGGCTATTGAGGACGTTTCCCACACCAGTTTATAAATCTACTCAGCCTTGTAGCCAGCACAATAAAGGTGAATAACTGCTTATTCACGATATACCAACACCACCTGCGTCTCGTATATTATATAAAAACGATACATACAAGTGAATTATACACTAATATGTACCTTATACTTAACGATTACACTACTAGCAGTTACGGCGACCCCAGTCGGTCGGGTAGGTTTAATGCTTGTTTATTGTTGTATTGCTGGAATAATATGCAATTTTGTGATTCACCAGTTTAGATTGTAGTTTCTTGCAAAGGTCGTTCCGATATTTGTGGCTGAGTCACGTTGATGTGTATATATCACCTGTCAACGTGTAAATCGTGCTTTGTGTCAATATGTGATGCAGGGGTTATATGGGTGTGAACATGCTAACAATGAGCTGTAATCGTCGAGTGTACACAATATGTAATAACTAGTCTGATGGAGATTGTAGTTTGTGCTGGTTGTACGATGATTTTGCTAAAATTAACAAGTGATGAAATTAACAAGGTCATTTCATACCTGTCAATCACATTATTTTTTCCGTTTATTCTGGATGACACTGAATTTACCAGATTGAAAAGGGTTGTTTTTGTACTTCAAATGATTGCACTGGGACATTATTCCTAATATTGTTTTATAGCTGAATTATATTTCGATGGATGAATTCATAAATATATTTCAATTGAACTAATAAAATCAATAACTGTATTTAAAAAAATAGATCGCTGTTTTGGGAAATTAGTTTTTTATGAAGGTAGTGATATTTTACACAGAACTATAACATAACATGAGGAAGAGAATATATATGGATGTCAGCTTCTTTATTATGAGGAACACAACGTTCGGAGTATATACTTACTCCTTCATTCACCTGATTTAGGAGGAAGTGTATACTCCGAAACCCTGTGTTCCTCATAATAAAGACGCTGACATCCATAAATTCTCTTCCTTGTGTGTGTTCAGTTCTAACTGTTATTCAAAGTCTTATAACATAACACTTATGTTGTAACTTGGTAACATTCGAATTGTTCACTGCCAAATAAGGATAAATAATTTCATATAATTTACCATTCATTAGTGCATCAAATTTTGTAGAATAAATAAATATAGTGCTTTAAGCATAACAATTTGTTCGTGATGTTTCAACTGCCTCAGTGCAGATAAATTTGTTCATACCAAAGTTGCATCAAAGGATGCCGATTTGATCCCCATTAATTCAATCGTCTTATCGTTATTCCGGTTCATAGATTAGCGAAAACAGACAATGGTGGAAAAAAGTATTAAAAGAAGATCCTATCCTGATGATGAATTAAATACCCGGAGGGTCATAAACTGAAACACAAACATCCGTGAGATTAACACACGTCCCGCTACCATTCTCATCTCTTCACTGTTAATCCAATGCAAACATTTTTCGTGTAGAGCGTTGTGTTAGTTCATGAGGCTACGATTTGGGGATTATCCGGATTAACAATAATCGCATAATTAAAAAGGTTAAGTGGATTACTTGGTTAAGCTAACAATGTAATTAGCCTAGCTGTTGGTAAGAAGGTATGTTTTTTAAATTTTGGAAGGTATTTAACAAGGAAGTGAAAATGACGCACATAGTTGCATGACTGCACGAACGAAGGAGTGTTCTGGACGCTTTTGAAACAGGGGTTTTAGTTCAGTGGACTGGCTCTAAACTGAGTCTTCACAAAGTCTGTGGACATAGTGCAGGCGTGTGTTGTCTCTGGCAACGTGATGCCGTTAGTGCATGTTGTACGTGGAATATCCTTGATTAACTACACTGGCAAGTTGAATTTTTGGGCGTCCACCACCTTCACGGGATTTTATAGTTTTTTCGATAAGCGGACTGAATAAGTTGTTCAAGTCGAACATATAGAACAGGTCGTTCTATATGTCGACAATTTTTGGATGGAAATGAGTTTTACAATGTTTCCTTTTTTCGAAAAGATTGATCAGAAGGGTTTCCTGTTTGAGATATTTTTGCAGTAACCCATGTTGTTCTTTGGAACAGATCTATTATACACATTTTGACCCATATCAGGTAGGTGTAATTAACACTAAAATATAAAATGTTATTAATATTAACTTGGTTAGATGGGTAAAGCAATCGGTACGTGGCACCTGGTTATTAATAATAGGTAAATCGAGCATCTTTTGGTATGTTTTCAAGCTAAAATCGCCTGCATGTGGAAAGGATATTTGTGTAAAAGTCATATCTCGAATACGTTTCTTGCCAATACTTTGCAAATACAAATTGACCCATGTGTAAATTGACCCATATCTCTGCTAATGACTGTCAACAAATCCGACAGTCAAATAACTACCGTTAACGTTGAAATAAACAACTTTTAATAAACTGACGTTTGCTTGTCACAACCACGTGTGATATGTCAACGGACTAAGACAACACGCATACTTCTCACATGTTAACCGTAAATCAAAATCCTTATCATCACCTTATGTTGTCTTACCTGTAACATCAAAGAGCGCCGAAAGCACAGGTGAGAATCACAAACAATAAATCACTCTTCGCTCATCAGCAGAACAGTGCAACAGCAAGCGTATTCCGAAATCCTCACGCCGTTTATCACAGCCCTACTCTAACATCACCTCTGCTCCAATTGACGATATAGTGAGCCGACTGAACGCAAATATCGCGCGTACAATGTCATGGCCGGGTAAACATGGCTTCCTCGCTCAGCCAATCAAATCACTGAAGCCATATCGGCACGGAATCTACTATACTGAATTTAATTCTCTGGCTATTGGCTGTAAAAGGCTAAGGGCCTGCGAGCATTGCCCCGTCTTTTGTTTTCCTTCCATTTAACATATCATACCTCAGTAGGTCCGAAAAGCCGGTTACAATAGCCTTCGGGCAGACAACTGATAACTCGGGTCGAGAGATGTACCCTCGAGTTAAGGGGTGTTCTTTAAGACGCTAAAGCCAAGGGGAAGATTCTAAGTGATAATGTCTGCACATAGGATCGGCTTTCTCTCGACTTGTCCGATGTCCGATCCGATAATTAAAGTAGTTGTCACGAAAATGCGACTTTTAGCGGGTTTGAAATTGAAATGAAAGCAGTTTCGAAGAAAACAGAAGACTCGTTCTATAGGAAGACTCATTCAATGTTTATTTAATGAACCGTTAATGCTGCGAAATTAGAGATCTTTAAAATTTGACCTTTTTGGATTTGACTTTACCTTTGAAGTGCGAAGGGATGAAATTTGACGACGCCCATTTCTATTGAGTTGACTAAAGGTCACTCAATCTAAGTTTATTATCTTGAATTTTGCTATGTACTGAAGTCCGATGGTCGGCTGATAAACAGTTAATGAAGTCTATTAAAAAACGTCTGAGGAAATGTGTTTGAAGTTTGATCTTGCCGGCGTGACAAAATGGTGTTTTATTCTACTTAATTCAACTGTAATTAACACAAAATGCTCCTTAAGTTTCAACGGTTTGAATAAAATATGAAAAGCGTAGAAATAATGAAAGAACTTTGCTCATACAAACTTTGATTTTCATATAATTTTGGAAAAATACCAATAAAATTAATATTTCCTTTGGTGAAATGTCCACTATAGCGTACAACGTGTTCATCAGTAATTGAAATACATGTTAAACAATTTTTGCAATACTGTTTGAAAATGCCCTTATGAATCAGTGACAAGGATTGTAATTTGTAGCACCCCAAAAAGAGACGTACATTTTGAACTTGTATTTTAGGCAGGCGATCGCGAGAGTTGTCAGTGACATTACTATTGTCTAACGCTAAAATAAGTTGAGTTTTGATTCTCACTGCATTAAAATCCCTGCATTGGATGTGTAAACTGTCCACATATTTCTAGATTATAATGATGCAATGTTTTTTATATAGCGTGCCTTACTAGTGAGCCCGTATACTGTGATTTGGATTTTAAAGTATGTCATCGTTAATTTCATACCCTATAAATTGATTGAAACCGGATGCGTGTCTGCTTTTCTTCAGCTACCCAACCGTTTTCTTGACAGTAATCAAAATATGCATACGCAGCCCAGTCCGCTCGCGCAACTTGGCGGAAATACCACATTGACAGTTACACACCGACCACAGTAAAATAATAATAATCTCTTTCACGTTTCAAATCTTAATGATTCAGATGCCATTTAAGACAACTTAAATGTAAAAAAATACATCAGTCATAATCCTCTAAGCACTTTTAGTCTTATATGTCTGAAGTTGCAAATATTGTCATACAATGTACAGAGTGCGGTAGAGCACGTGCATGATTCTAGATGTTAGAAGGCGTACATACGCTAACCAATTGTATAACTATTAACTTAATACTGGAAGGAAGAGAATATATGTCGTACTAGAAGTTCACTTCATCTTCACCAAACTTCAACCACTCGCGTCCTTATATGTATGTAGCAACTGTGTTGCAGTTGACACCAGGACAGCCAGGCTTGATACACACTTTTAACCCACGCCTCGTACCGCCGCTACTACAAACACTATCACGGTTTCTAACACCGCTACTTCTAACAATATCCAAATATGTTTCGTAAATTGTTTTAAATATAGTATGCTCAAATATGTTTCGTAAATTGTTTTAAATATAGTATGCTCAAACATGTTTCGTAAATTGTTTTAAATATAGTATGCTCAATTATGTTTCGTGAATTGTTTTAAATATAGTATGCTCAAATATGTTTCGTGAATTGTTTTTAGATATAACTTCTGCATAGATGACACAATTGTGAATAATTAATTTGGTCTCGTCGCTGTATGGCTGAAATAATGCCGATGCGACGTTATATTTTAAGTCACTCACTCACTCATTCACTAACAATATCACGGCTCCTACCACCGCGACTACTAACACTATATTAACACGGCTCCTACCACCGCTACGACTATCACTATCAAGGCTCCTATCACCGCGACTACTAACACTATATTAACACGGCTCCTACCACCGCTACTACGAACACTATCAAGGCTCCTATCACCGCTACTACTAATCTTATCACGGCTCCTATCATTGCTACTACAAACACTATCACGGCTCCAACTACCGGTACTACTGACAATATCTCGGCTCCTAACACCGCTACTACTAACACTATCAAGGCTCCTACCACTGCTACTACTAACAATATCACGGCTCCTACCGCCGCTACTACTAACACTATCACGGCTCCTAACACCGCTACTACTAACACTATCACGGCTCCTACCACCGCTTCTACTAACACTATCACGGCTCCTAACACCGCTACTACTAACACTATCACGGCTCCTACCACCAGTACTACCAACAATATCACGGCTCCTACCACCGCTACTGCTGACACTATCACGGCTCCTACCATCAGTACTACCAACAATATCAAGGCTCTTACCGCCGTTACTGCTGATACTTTCACGGCTCCTAACACCGCTACTACTAACACGATCACGGCTGCTACTAGCAACACTATCACGGCTCAAACCGCCGCTACTGCTGATACTATCACGGCTCCTAACACCGCTACTGCTAACACTGACACGGCTCCGAACACCGCTACTACAAACACTATCACGGCCCCGAACACCGCTACTACTGACACTATCATGTCTCCTAACACATCACCATCAAGGCTCAATCCGCTGCTACTACTATTACTATCACGGCTCCTAACATCGCTACTACTATCGAGATCACGGCTCCCTCCGCCGTTACTACTGATACTTTCACGGCTCCTAACACCGCTAATACTAACACGATCACGGCTGCTACTAACAACACTATCACGGCTCCAACCGCCGCTACCACTGATACTATCACGGCTACTAACACCGCTACTACTAACACTACCACGGCTGTTACCACCGCTTCTACTAACACTATCACGTCTCCTAACACCGCTGCTACTATCACGATCATGGCTCCCTCCGCTGCTACTACTAACACTATCACGGCTCCTAACACTGCTACTACTAACACTATCACGGCTCCTAACACCGCTACTACTGACATTATCACGGCTTCTACCGCCGCTACTACTAACACTATCACGGCTCCTAACACTGCTACTACTAACACTATCACGGCTCCTAACACCGCTACTACTAACACTATCACGGCTCCTACCACCGCTACTACTAACACTATCACGGCTCCTAACACTGCTACTACTAACACTATTACGGCTCCTAACACCGCTACTACTAACACTATCACGGCTCCTGACACCGCTGCTACTACTAACACTAACACGGCTCCGAACACAGCTACTACTAACACTTTTACGGCTCCTAACACAGCTACTACTAACACTATCACGGCTCCTATTTCCGCTACTACTAACACTTTCACGGCTCCTATTTCCGCTACTACTGACACTATCACGTCTCCTAACACCGCTACTACTAACACTGTCACGGCTCCTAACACCGCTACTACTAACACTATCACGGCTCCTAACACAGCTACTACTAACACTATCACGACTCCTATTTCCGCTACTACTGACACTATCACGTCTCCTAACACCGCTACTACTAACACTATCACGGCTCCTAACACTCCTACTACTAACACTATCAGGGCCCCTTATACCGCTACTACTGACACTATCACGTCTCCTAACACCGCTACTATTAACACTATCACGTCTCCTAACACAGCTACTACTATCACTATCACGGCTCCTAACACAGCTACTACTAACACTTTCACAGCTGCTACTAACAACACTATCACGGCTCCTAACACAGCTACTACTAACAACACTATCACGGCTCCTAACACAGCTACTACTATCACTATCACGGCTCCTAACACAGCTACTACTGACACTATCACGGCTCCTAACACAGCTACTACTAACACTTTCACAGCTGCTACTAACAACACTATCACGGCTCCTAACACAGCTACTACTGACACTATCACGTCTACTAACACAGCTACTACTATCACTATCACGTCTCCTAGCATCGCTACTACTATCACGATCACGGCTCCATCCGCTGCTACTACTGTCACTATCACGGCTCATAACACAGCTACTACAAACACTTTCACGGCTGCTACTAAAAACACTATCACGGCTCCTAACACAGCTACTACTATCACTATCACGTCTCCTAGCATCGCTACAACTATCACGATCACGGCTCCATCCGCAGCTACTACTAACACTGTCACGGCTCCTAACACCGCTACTATTAACACTATCACGGCTCCTAATACCGCTACTACTGACATTATCACGTCTCCTAACACCGCTACTACTATCACTATCACGTCTCATAACACAGCCACTACTGACGCTATCACGGCTCCTAACACAGCTACTACTAACACTATCTCGGCTGCTACTAACAACACTATCACGGCTCCTAACACAGCTACTACTATCACGATCACGGCTCCATCCGCTGCTACTACTAACACTATCACGTCTCCTAACACCGCTACTACTATCACGATCACGGCTCCATCCGCTGCTACTACTAACATTATCAGGTCTCCTACTATCGTTCAATACTAACACTATCACGGCTCCATCCGCTGCTACTACTAACACTATCAGGTCTCCTACTATCGTTCAATACTAACACTATCACGGCTCCATCCGCTGCTACTACTAACACTATCAGGTCTCCTACTATCG